TTCAGTGTTCTGAGCTTATTATACCACGAAGTATGTATTCCAAGACACTGAGTAAAAAACAAAGTACTGCTGGGCCTATAATTACAGCAAGGCATTGAAAACAGTCAACAAGATGACTCAAGCTTGAAAAATACCTAAATAATAGCTGTCAGAAACAGCTTTCTGCTATAGATTACATCCTCCAAGTACTTGCTTACTTTCATCTCAAATTCAAAAATTCAACATTAAAATTCCATGAAGAATGCATAGTTTCTGCACTACACAATAACTCAAAATAAATGATTCTCTGAAGCAACAGTTTTTATTTAAGTTTGCCTGTTACATAAGGAAAAGGCTGGAGTCTCTAGGTCCTTAGGGGATACAGCAAGCCAGCAAACAACTCATTAAATTTCCCTAAAACAGAGTTTTCAAAGACTCAACTCCAAGTACAAAGGAACCTTTAGATGTGCCCCACTCATAAAACCTCTCTCCATTTTCTTTAAATCTTGGTTCCTTGCTCCAAATGGTCTCTAACTTGGCTGCCATCAAAAATAACCAAGTCTTTTAAAAACATCAGTCTGGGGATTCTATGACCTGGTGCAGCCTGCTTCTGAGACAGAGCATGGGGACAATACTTTAAACCTCCCTTAGTAACTCCACTGTACAAGTCCTGTTGAAAGAAAGTATTTGTGTCACTAACAATCTCTTCACTGTGTAAATGAGTCACTAAAAGTCACAGGGTTTATAGATGTGTTAGGAGAAGAACATTCAAAACCATAATCAGGGATGCATTTAAAAGTACAGCAACTTTCTACAACTTCACATACAGTGACTAAGAAGCACACTACAATAAACATGGCACCTTATCTTGAAAAGACTAGAAATATACCTGTGAAAGTAGGCTTTAGACGGGTCATACCCATGAGTTGTGGATGAGTTTGGCTCATAATAAAAGAGTAAGAAACAGCAGCCAGCAAAGGACTGCAGTGCCTGACAGAAACGCATGACTAAGCAACTTGGCTCAATGGGTACCACTCATGAATTAATGTGGTCCTTCCTCCACTTCCACACAGTCGGAGAACACACATAAGGCTCAACTTGTTCCTTAACATAGCACTTGGGTTATAACAAATCCACATCTCAAATCAAATGCCATATAAGAACTAACACTATCTCCTGAGAAGTAGCTAATATAAATTATATAGCATTACATATAGTTATTGTATATAATAAACATATTATATACACAGTGTTTGTATCATGTGGCTATTAAGTATTAACTCTAGATCATCAAAAACATTTTTCAGTGTAGTATATGAGTACTGCTAATATTTCTATCTACTTTGTGTTCAAAAGGTTATCAATATCTCCCTTCAAATAAATTGTATTATTGAGTATTACCTATATCACCATAATGTATAGGAACAGTGGACTTGGATAGCTGTAATTTTAATAACCAACAAAACACAAAGTAAAAATGATCTTCTATACAGAGTAAGACAAAAGAAGGAAAATGGCTACAGTAGCTGGAGAGATTGCTCAGTGGTCAAGACTCTTTGCTACTTTTGCAGAAGACCAAAGTTCGGCTCACAGACACCTGTAACGCCAGCTCCAAGGGACCTAACACCCTTTTCTGGACTCCGAGGGTACCTGCATACAATGGGTGCATGTACACACACACACACACACACACACACACACACACACACACACACACACACACCACATACATATGAATGTCAATAAAAATAAATCTGTTTCTAAACAGTAAAATAGCTGTTAAACACATGGAAAAAGAAGTTAATTATGCTCACTTTTAGAGAAATACATGATAAAACCATAGCGTATTTCATTTAGTATTATATATCCTGTTTATATTTTACAGTTCACTGAAAAGACAAAAACCAAATGAAATGACTGATTCCAGATTGAATTTGGGGTCAAGGTAAGAAAGGCCATTACTGGAACAGTGGACAAGAGCTGGAGGCTGAGCAGATAGACAGCTCAACAGACCCAGTGCTTACCTCACAGGCATGAAGACAACTGGAATTCAGATCCCCAGAACCCACCTAAACGCCAGGCCAGCAGCTGTGGAACCTGGCCTATAACGCCAGCACTGGGTAGAAACAGGACTTCTGGGGAAAGCTGGCTACCTAGACCAGGTCAGGGTGCCGTATTTGTCACTGAAGGGGCTATGGGGAGGGTCAGAGGACAACCGGTAAGAGCTGGTTCTCTCCTTCCCACCTCACTGAGGCAGGCTCTCCTCGCCTCTGCCATGCTGCATACTCCAGACTGCTTGCATCCTGGTGACTGTCATGCCTCTGCCTCCCATCTCACTGTAGCTCACAGATGCACACTACCACGTTCCGCTTTTCACATGGCTTCCTGGGATTGAATTCAGGGTGTCAGACTGCACAGTCAGTGCTTTTAGCCACTGAGCCATCTCACCAGACCAAGAAATGTATTTTTAACAATATTTTAACAGTAACATGTCCTATGACTAAACTATTATAATTTGACTCATTATATATCAGATATATTCTCAGAAAACACATGCAAAAATATTTTGGAATAAAGGGACATAATATATCTTTAACCACCTCATAAATTGTTACACTTCCTGCGACAGTGGAGAAATGGGTATTAATTTATCCACTTACCTAAAATGATAGCTAGATAAGAATATATAAAATTAACAGCACTCAAGAGACAGTGGACATCAGTAAATAAAACAACAATCCCTCAGAGACTATAAATCATGACCCAAGCCCTAACATAACTAAGGCTGACTTGGTAAAAATAAAAAATAAAAGTCTAGGTCACAATTAAGCAAAACCCCAGTAACGTCCAGTTGAGAAGAGTGATTTCAGCACACAAAGAGGCCAAAATACCTAAGGGACTAGCAGAACTCATGGTCCCCCTGGAGAAAAAACAGGGACAAAGCATTCATTGTAAAAGGGAGGTGGACACAGAGAAAATTCTGGAGACCTACAGAGAGACTTCCTCAATCGCAGAGGTGAGTCCTGGACAGCCTGCATGTGTGAGGAAACCACTAAAGCCTAGAGAGCCGAAACAAGATTGCAAGAAGCCACCTGAGAACTCATGACAGTGCCCCAAAGTCAAACTGTACGTTGTTATAATAACTAGGCACTCTTTGGAGCATTAAGATGATCTTGCTATGTAGAGAAGATAAAGTGATCAGACATGAAATCAATCCTAGTTGGACGTAACAAACGCAAAAGCAAGAAGCAGGAGGATTACACTGTCTGCAAGTGGTTCAGCTGCATCCCAAAGCAAAGCTCAAGAATATGTAGGACAACAAACACATCTAACAAGACACGAAGGAAAGTCCGTGGCACCTGGAAGCAAATCACGGGTTATCAGACAGAGAGTGCAGGAAAGTGCCACTGACTAAGAAGAAAAGCTAAGCCAGAAAAGGCTGGGGGACATACAGCTTGGTGGCAGCATGCTCGCCCAGCAGAGACAGAGCCCTGGGTCTGAGCCCCAGCACCACATGGGGGAGCGGAGAACAGGAAAGACACAAAAGCAGCACACACGATAGAACAGCAGGATAACTGAACAGTTACCATGACTACATCAAGGAAACTAGAAGAAAAAAACATATTGAGTAGAAACATGGAAAACATAAAAGATTGACTGAACAAGATGTTTACGATTTACTCATTATTAACATGGGACCTACACATAATCATCAGAGAAATTAAAGCTATAATGAGAAATCACATTTGTCCTTTTAATCCACTGTGAGTTGAATTTTGTAACTGGTGACTGACAGACGTTTACTTTCATTGTTCAGCACATGGCCATGCAGTTTTTCCATAACTTTAACTCAGGAGCCTGGTCTTTTTCTACGATGTGCTCTTAGTATCTTGGCTGAGAATCACTGGGTCATGTATCATCCTTTTATCTTTTTGGTTCTTGCCAAAACTACCTCTTGCTTTCACCTCATGATTCTATTCTATGTTTTGCCACCTGGTTGGAGAAACTGTAGAGAATAAACATAACTTATTAGCTTCCCAAGTACTGTCTACTACAGACTTCAAAAAGTTGAAAAAAAGGTCTTAGGACATTGAATGTTTTCATCAACAAGAAATACATGATCAGGGAAACAAGGTTTTTAATTATATTTTTATTAATTCTTTAAGAATGTCATACTGTGAACATTTTTAGCCCCCAAGTCTTCCCAATGACCCTTTCCAGTGTCACCTCACCTGCACACCCAACTTACTATTTTTAACCAAAGCCCAATTTGTGTTGCTCAACTACTCTTAAGGAGTGGGACCTGCCTGCAATGTGATCTATGACCTACCAGAGATCACACAATTAAAGAAAAGTGATTTGTTTAATCTATTTAAATCCTTTTAAACATTACACAATGTAAACATTTTCAAAACAAAGGGGGTAAATAAATGAAAAAATTAAAGGAAGACAGAACAAAGAGAAAGTTAAAATACTAAATTGAACTATATTTAATAATAATATCAAATAACCACATTAAAATTTGAACGGAAAGGATATTAAAGTAAGCACATAAACATCTACAGGATCAGGAACTGGGGAGACACCTCAGTGAGTAAACGCGATGGTTGTACAAGCTTGCACGTCTGAGTACAAATCCTTACACACCCACATAAAACAGCCAGACATCACCACGTGCACCTGTAATCCCAGTGTTTTAAGGTAGAAATTGGTGGATCCCAGGAGCTGGCTGCCCAGACAGTCCCTAGCCTAAACAAGTCCCTCACTCAAGGGACTAAAGTGGAGAGCCACAGCAGACAGCCAACGTCCTCCTCTGACCTCCACACACTGCGCTCAGGTGTGTGCATTGCACACACACACACGTATCTCCACATACGAGCATACATCATATCTGGAATAGTGACAGGAGGCAGATAAAATTTACAACACTGCAGTTGACCCAGGCAGGCTCATTCTACAGTATGATCTATCTGTTGTACGGACAACTATGATGCTATACAAACGAATGAAACCACTCTTACCTTGGACACATTACTGACGTAATTCACCTGCACAGTGCTTTCTTTATCAACTTGATTACAAAGATTCTGTAAATTGCATGCATATTCTTTATCGCTTTTTATTCTCAGGGCCATAAATTTCTTCACTGTTTCCAGGAACCGTAATTCCCAGTCCTGCAACTTTAACACAGCTTCCTGTGAGTTCCGCAGGTCACTCCCAAATCCCATTTTGTAAGGTACTGCTTGTCTTCTACACCGTACAAGTGAGCCTGCTAGTCAGCACATCTCTGTGGACAGAAACACAAGAAGTCTCAATTAGAAGGAAACTACTCCTCAAAGCAAAAGCATGGTCCACTGTTTTAACTTAATGACAACTAGATGTCTTCTCCCAAAGATCAGGAAGAAACTAAGGATGTGTACTGTATTGCTGCTACATTGAAGGCTCGAGGTACTATAATGACATCGTAAAATAAAAGGCATTTAGGAAAGGGAGTTGGAGAGATGGTACACTGCTCTTCCAGAAGACCCGAGTTCAGTTCTCAACACTCATGAGGGGTGGCTCACAACAGCCTGTACTCCAACTCAGGGGATCTGACACCTCTGTCTCCTGAGGTACCTGCACTCACATGCACACACCCACACATACAGACACACATGTACACACAACTAATATTAAAAATAATCAGATTAGACAAGGAAGAAGTGAAGTGATCTCCATTTGCAGATGACACCACTTAGCGTACAGAAGATCCAAGAAAAGACTTAAGTATCAGAATGAACCTGGTACATTACCAAGCATGACTGATAGAGAGGAAATGTCCTCTATGGACTTGTATGCCAAATGTCTCCTTCCCAGCTAAGGATGCTCTTCAAGAGGTGGCGGGAACTCTAGATGGGGAGCCTCACTAGACAGAGTAGGTCACTAGAATGTGCTTTTAGAGATCACTCCTAGTCCCGTCCTTTCCGATTCCTGGTTTCCAAGGTGAGCAGCTTCTACACACACACCTGCTACCATATATACTCTACACCAAAAGCTCAGAAACAGTCAAAGGCCCATGGAAGGAAACCAATAAAACTGTGAGCAAGAGTAAACCCTTCTTCCCTTATGTGGCATTTCTCATACGTTTGCTCATGCAACACAGCACTCACTAACATACGCAGTGCAAGGTCAGGGTTAAAAAAAAAATCAATCTAATGTCCACATATCAGCAACAATCAACCCAAAAAGTTAAATTAAAAACAAATTCCAAGCTGGGCTGTACTGGCATACGCCTTTAATCCCAGCACTCGGGAGGCAGAGCCAGGTGGATCTCTGTGAGTTCGAGGCCAGCCTGGTCTACAGATCGAGTTCCACGACAGGCACCAAAACTACAATGGGGAAACCCTGTCTCAAAAAAAAAAAAAAATCCAATGCTAGGCATGGTGGGGCACACCTTTAATCCCAGCACTCAGGAGGCAGAAGCAGGTAGATCTCTGAGTTGGAGCCCAGCCTGGTCTATAGAGTAAGTTCCAGGACAGCCAGGGATACACAGAGAAATTCTGTTTTGCAAAACCAGAGGAGGAAAAATCAATTCCATTTACAAAAACGTCAAAAAAAAGAATAGAATACTTGGGAACAAGTCTTGTTTTAAATGCAAACTTGTGTTCATCTAACTAAAAAGCTGAAATTATAAATGAGTTCCTGAAACATTCAAAGGAGAAAGAATTAATGTGTTAACAAAGCAAGAGATTCCAGTTTGATCTATACATTTGACATAATCTGTATTGAAAACATTTTGTAAGTTAAAGAAATCATGACACAAAAGACCACATACTGTATAATTCTACTTACAAGACGTGTAAAATAGGACAATTAGATATAAAATAAATTTGTGGTTGTCTAGGGCGAGTGAATTTGGAGAGAAACGGAGAATGATACCTGAGAGGTATTGGATTTCTCTCTGTGGTGATGAAAGTGTTCTAAGATTGACTGGGATGGCAGCACAACTCTGTGAGTTGGTTAAAAGCCAACTAAACTGCACAGTTCCATCAGATGAATTCCTAAGTATGTGAGTGTTATGTAGTGGGTAGCCATTCCAGCTTTGATCTGGAAGTTCCAACCCCCATTGAGGCTTCGGTAACGGTCATGCCTACAAGGCAGGGCAAGAGGGACCCCGAAGACCCGAGATCTGGATGGGCTGGCTCCCTTGATTCCTGGACCCTGGACGCTGAAGGTAGACCCAGCAGAGTTCTCCAGAGAACACCACTGGACTGTGCTACACCTTTCCCAGACCCTGTTACCTATCCCTTCATTTGTGAGTTACCCCATAAAATAAACCTCCCTTTTAACTACGCAGAGTTACCTTAATAATTTCACCAATAGTGTTATGTTTTAGATATGGTTTGATGCATCCCTCAAGGCAGTATGTTTTGGCATTTAATCCCAAGGGAGAGGTAATAAGAAGGTAGAAATTTATCCCACTGTGGTACTTAGCAGGAGGGCCTCTGGGAGATGATCAGGATGAACTAAGTAATTAGCATGGAGCCCCATGATTAAATCTTGGTAGCAATAGCTTTATAAGAGGGAGACAACCCAGAAATTACTCTGCCTGCCTGCCTTCTCCCTCTCCTTCTCTCATACATATCGTGCGTGCACGTGCACACATATACACACACACACACACACACACACACACACACACACACACACACACACACCCTGACTCCTTGAAATGGTCTGAACTTGGGTCTCTGGCAGTAAGGTCATGCCCAGATGTGGCTCGGTGACCTTGAACCTCCAACCCTGAGCCCCAATGAACCTGTCTTATTTACAAACTCACGCTGTCCACGTTACAATGTTATGGGTGACAGAAAGTGGACAAGAACTCAAACAGTAACTCAAAACAGTTATTTCAAAATCACTAAGACGTAACAAGATCAAATATAGGCCAGTTATTGTAAACTTCCCCAAGATATCCTCCTTGTTTACTATAAATCCTGAAAACTACTGCAAGATGTATTTTGTCCTCCTGTTTGTCTTTCCAGCAGTGACCTTCACAGCAGACAGAAGAGCTGTGAAACATGCCTTCCATTTCCAGTTCGGGACCATCCAGGCTAGAAGTCAAGTGTTTCACTGTTGTGGTAGTGGCTCTTTGCTTGTTCTTTTGTGGGGTGCTGGAAATTGAACCCCAGGTCTCCTCACACATGCTAGGCAAGTGTTCGCTACACTGAGCTACAGTCCGAACCCTAGAATTCTGTTTCCAGTTAAGGACACTGACACCATCTAATCTACACAGATACAAAAAGAGGTTTCTCTCTCTAACTTCATCTGAAGACTTGTCAAAAAATATTGTTCTCCAAGTAGAGAATAAATTACAATTGTTCCCCAAGTGAAAAATGTTCAATTGTATGAACTATAAAGTAATTAGAAAAAGATGTTTATGAGTTGGAAGAAACTCCTTGCTAAAATTTCCAAAGCAGCAACCAAGACTGAGTGAGTGGCCCCTAGCGGAGTCGTAACTAGAGGGACCAGCTTATTCACTGAGTGTCAGTGATTCTAGGCTTTGGGCCCCAGACCTCGGCTTTAAAACAATGACGTTGGGCCTGGGTGTAGCTCAGTGTAGAGCATTTTCAGTATGCAGAAGCCCATGGCTCAATCCCCAGGGCCACATGGAAAAGACAATCATTTGTGGGGCACAAAAACAGACAATGATATTTTGTTGTTGCTACTTTTACCTGCAGCTGGTAGAAACAAACTTCTTACCCCATGTTCGGCCAAAGAATAAGTATCTTTGAAGGAAGAAATGTTGAGAATATTTTAATTTCTAAAAAAACAACAACAGGGGAAAAAAAAACCTAAATCCTAAATCTAAGATTGTGGTTCATTTTAGTCCAAATGTGGCATAAGTACCATCTCTGCTTCTAAATACATCTTGATAAGCATTTTTTTAATTTCTGCTTCAAAAAATTGTGTAGAGCTCAGGGAAAAAAGGGAAAACAGACTCTAGCAAAATATGGGAAATGTTCCAGCTTCTAAGAGCTTATTTATGTTTATTAATATTTAGGTCAGAGCCGGGCGGTGGTGGCGCACGCCTTTAATCCCAGCACTCGGGAGGCAGAGCCAGGCGGATCTCTGTGAGTTCGAGGCCAGCCTGGGCTACCAAGTGAGTCCCAGGAAAGGCGCAAAGCTACACAGAGAAACCCTGTCTCGAAAAACCAAAAAAAAAAAAAAAATATTTAGGTCAGAATATACATGTACCTCTCTTTAGGAAAAAATGGAATATTTTTTTAAGTAAGACAATTCCATAATAAATTAACTGTCTAATTGTTAGACTGTATGACACAGCAAATGCTTAAGGATGTATCAGATCGATACACTACATAAAACAAAGGTAAGGCAACTCCATAATAGATTGTGTCTAATTGTTGGACTGTTCGATATGACAGATACTTAGGGAATGAACTAATGGACCGATACAATACATATAACTACCCTATTCGTGACAAATCAGATACATGTAAGACTAGTGTTTGCAGTAACACCAAACTACAGTATCCAAAATATTCACCTGCAGGCAGTGGTTAAGCAGAGTGCAAACCAACCCATGTTTCACCTTTTCTACCAGGAATAGCCAAGTCAAGCAGGAGGAATGGGCTAGACAGACCCAGTTATAGCAAGCAATTCATTCAGGAATGTGGGAGTACATTTTTATGAAAATGTCTCTTACATTATAAAGACTGGAACTTTTGCTGGGCCTCACAGCCAAGCTCATAATATTCACTGGGCTCACACAGACTTCACCTGATGTCCTACTGTGTATTCAGCCTGTTTGTTTAACCTGCCTTTGTGAGAATAATGTAACATTACTTGTCTTGGATTTCCTATGTAATCAGCTTTTACAACCTAAGCTAATGCATAGCTGTAATCTTAAATCATGTATTCTTCCATGTCCCTGACCCAGATCAACACATGTGTGTATGTGTGTGTTAAGGCAATCATTTGCTGAAAGTAGCCCATACGATCCACCATAAACATTGGGAGCAGCATATGGATAGCTTGATAACTGTGTGCTTACAATAACACTTGTTATCTGACTCAGCTGGGGTCAGTAACTTAATCCCTTGTAAAACTGTTAGGGACTTCTGTAAAGTATCCCTCCTTCCTTTCCCATGTGAGTTTCCTGTGCTGTTCAATAAACACAGAACGAAGCTCTTCTTAGGAACGGGTCAGAAACAAATATCAAACACAAACTACAAACAGATGAAGACACAGGCAGAGGAGTGGAGAATTCAAAGTCGGGTTCACTCC